CGCCGGAGGCGGCCCGCCTCGGCCTCCAGGACGTCACGCTTGCGGGAGGGCGGCAGGGTGCCCTCCGCGGTCGGGCCGCGGCCCCCGAAGTCGGAGGCCGATATCGGAGGCGAGCATTTATCCATCGCCTGGAGGGTCAGTTTTCGGAGCCTCGGCAGGCGGTGGATGTGGACAGATTGGGGCCCCCGGGGGCCGAAGTATATCCATGTCCACCGCCCGCTGGGGCACCAGGACATCGGTTCCCAGGCGGTGGATGTGGGTAAATCCCCGCCTCGCATGATGGACCTCCTACCCTGACCCGTCGATTAGCGAATTGGCAGTTTTCGGTTCGCGAGAGGGCGTCGCGGCCGTCATTTTTGCTGGTCCAGGTCCGTGGGTTTCGGTCTCAGGCCGTTTTCACTAAAAAGGGCGGTTTACGAAATTGAGGTTTGTCCACCGCCGATGAGATCGGCGGCGAGCGAGGGGGGGAAATGACGGCGGGACTTCTCAGAAGGCGGCGGGACTTCTCAGGGGCCCTCGCGCCTCCTGAGACGTCTTGTCTGTCCTCGGGGAAGGCTCAGAAACAATTTCTCAGAAGGCCGGGGGGCTTCCGAGCCTTCTGAGAAGACCTTCTCCCTCTCGCTTCCCCCCCCTCGCTCGCCGCCGATGAAGCAAGACGTTGCTGGCCAGGGCTTTGAGCCTTCCGCCCGGAGGGGGCGAAGAGTGTGGAGGACGTCCCGGCCCACGGCCGCAGTCGGACAGCGGCGCGACGAGGGCCCTGCTTGATCGAGAAGTCCCCGTGCGGAGAGCCCCGAGATCCTGGGGTCCTGCTCCGAACGACACTCGGGGGCGGCAGAGAGGGGGGTGATGACCAGGGGGGGGTGGACATCCATCCATGGCGGGGGCCACGATGTCTCCCCAGATTTCATGGCGCCTCCGCTTCTTGTTTCAAGGCGTCCTCCGCCCCACACCCCCCACCCCCCCGCACAGTCACCTTGTGCCGCGCACGTGCGCCGGCCAGGATTTGCGCCCCCCCCCCCCCCACCTCTCTCGTGGACGACCCCCGCTCACAAAGGATATCGTGATGGACACGCGCCCCCGAATTGTTACAAGCATCTTCCTGTTATTCTCCTCATACCCCCGCATGACGGAGGCGAGGCGGGAAAACGACAATCGTGTGAGGAGGGGGGGAGGATGAGGTGATGATGATGATGTGATGATGATCGATGGATATGATGATGAGGAGGAGGAGGAGAGGAGGAGGAGGAGGAGGAGGAGGAAGGAGGAGGCAGGAGGAGGAGGAGGCGGCTTCTTGGCCGCCCCCGAGACATCCTTTATTTCCTGCGGCCCCCCCCGGGGGGGCCGAGCGCAGCCACGGCGGAGGGTTCTGGGCAGCGGTTTCGACCTCGGGGGGGGCCCTCGCCAGGCCCCCGGGAGAGGCAGACCGTCGGCGAAGGCGCCTCGGGCCGAGGAGAGGGCCGGCCCCAGGGCAGCGGGTCCGGACCTCTGGGGGGCCGCGCTGTGCAGGCAGCACGGCGTCGGATGCCTGTCAGTAGGGAAAAAACACACAGACACAATTCATCGTCGATCCCCAGGAAAATATGGGAAAATATGGGAAGTGGGGGGGAAGACGAAAGTCCAACAAATATGGAACAATTTTGGGAATCCTTTTATTTGTGTGTCTTACTTTGTGTGTCCCAGGGCCCCTTTAGTCTGGGTGCACAGTGGAGTCCCATGCCAAGAGACGCCCTGCCTGCCTCCAGTGCGCCCTGGGTTTCTGGGGGCTTCCGATGCCTTCGCGATGGAGGGCGTGGCGTTCCCACGGCAGAAGTCGGTGGACGCCCTGGGGTCTCGGGGTTGGGTTGCCTGTGGAAGGTCTCTTGTGGGCTGGCCTCCACCTCGTGGGGCCTTCGCCGGGCCCCAGGGGGCCGTCAGCGGAAGTGGCTCGGGATGGAGAGCTGGTCCCCAGGAGCGGCTCCAGATTTCTGGGGAGCCACACTGGAGGAGGAGGAGGAGGAGGAGGAGGAGGAGGAGGAGGAGGAGAGGAGGAGGAGGAGGAGGAGGAGGAAGGAGGAAGCAGCACGTTGCGTCGGGGTGTCTGCAAACAAACGACAACGGAGCTCCTTGTCTGGGCACCGCGGCCTGCGGCGGGACCGCATGCGCGCGCTCCCCCAGAGCCCAGGGTGCCCCTCAAGCCAGGGCGGCGCGGCGGTGGTGCATCAGAGCGGAGGCACGCTGAGCAAGGGGGGTTTAGGAGGAGGACGAGGACGGAGGTAGGAGGAGGAGGAGGAGGGGAGGAGGAGGAGGAGGAGGAGGAGGTAAGTGAGGAGGAGGAGGACGAGGAGGAGGCGGAAAGGCGGAGGAGGAGGAGGAGGAGGGAGGAGGAGGAGCGGAGGAGAGGAGGAGGAGGAGGAGGAGGAGGAGGAGGTTTCTTCTGGCAGGTTTCTTGTGGACTGGCCTCCGCTGTGCACCCCGACCGCCCGTGGCCAGGACCGTCCCTGGGCCGCCCAGGGCAGGCCGCTCTGCTTCCTCTCCCAGGGCCCAAAGGCCTCCCAGGCCAGGGGCGGCGGCGGTGCAGCAGATCGGGGGCGCGTGGAGCCGGGGTGACGTCGGGCCTGTCCCTCTGGCGGAGGAACATCCAAGAACGGTTAGGATACAGTCCAGGGAGGATTTTTCGATCATGTTTGATCACTTTGGGGTGTGTTTTGACTATTTGAATTTTTTCGTCGAAGCTCCGCCTGTAGGGGGACGTGTCCGACCTGAAGCTGGGGGGGGTTGAGCCCCAGGTGGGGTTAGGGAGCGAGCCTGGCCTGATACCGTTCAGAGCCCTCTTCCCCCAAACCCCGCCTCTGCCCCTTGCCCCTCGACCCCCTGCCCCCCCCCCCCACTCCCCGCGTCCGCCCCCCGCCTGCCCCAGCAGGTGCTGGCGGAGGCGTCTCCTCGACATGCGATCTTGTGGCGCACCAGGTATCTCGCGAACCTCCAAGCTTGTGCCCAGGGGGCGGGGGCAGGGAGGGGGGGGGGGGGCTTTCTCTGCCTCTCGGCCCCTCGCCCGATCGCCGCGCCCTCTCGCAGGAGACCGCGCGGGCGCAGGTGGCGCACAGCGACCTGGTGCTGCTCAACAAGTGCGACCTGCTGGGCGGCGCCGGGTCCGCCGCCGCGGAGGCGGCTGAGGCCCGGGCGGGGCTGCGACGGGGGTGCCTCGTCCCAGAGCGTCCGGAAACGCTCTGCGGAGCGCTCCGAGAAGGCTGCGGCGCCCGGTGCATCCGCTGGGGCCGTCGAGTACTCCAGAGGTCTCCATTTTCGATTCGATGACCCCCCTGTCAGACATCCGAAGACAGAAGACATTCAATTTTCATGGGCTCCAGATTCCATGTCAGAAAATCAAGAATTTGGGCTGGGCCCTGGGCGTTTTTTGGGAGGCTTTTTTTTGTTGGTAGAGTTTTTGCGTATCTGCACCTGTGCGGCTTTTTAATGAAAGCGCTTGGAGCGAAGCTCATTTGGCGTACTGCTTAACTCTAAGCCAGACATCCGCCGATGTGTTTTTTTTCCATCCGCGGCCCCAGATGTCCCGACCCCTTCCCCAGGGGTGGTCTTCCACCCGGGATCCACTTGTGCTGGCCCCCGGGCGGGCCCGAGAACGGGCCCGGAGGGCCAGAATCCAGGAAAACCTGCTGGATGGAACAACTTATATCCTCGGGTCTCTGGGAGGCAGGGGGGGGGGTAACCCCATCTTGGGTCGACCTTTCGCGCATCTCGACCCCGGCTGCTGGTCAGTCGAGCGCCCGGAGCGAAAAACTCGTAGAACGTAGTGCGCATTTCTTGGCTCCACGCAGGTGGTCGGTTTTTGAGTCATTGTTTTGCCGATCGGCGCGGGCCCCCAAACCTGCCCCCCCCCACCCCCCATGGAGTGGATCTTGGCTGTTTTTTGGCGCCTGTCTCCAGCGGGTGGGGTCTCCCCCAGAGGCCGCACTCTCGCAAAAAGTCGCACTAACCAGAGGTCTGGAGCCAGACCCCCCCTCCTTGGCCGCCCAGTGTCGAAGCGCCGAATGATAAAAACGCTCACCAGGGGTGTACCCTGAAGTCGGGCCTGTCCCCCTACAGGGGGATTCCCGACGAAAAATACAAGATACCCCCAAAAATAACCAAGCAATAGTCCAACACTGATAGGGGGACTATTTTTGGAGTTCTTCTTTTGGGGCATTTTTGGGGTATCTTTTTTTTTTGCTCGTCGAAAATCCCCCTGTAGGGGGACACGCCCGACTTCAGTGTCCCCCCGCCCGACCTCGCCCCGCGGAGAGGCGGCCCTCCTGGGGCGCCTGGCCCGGGGGGGCGCCCCGCCCGCGCAGCGGGTCCTGCGCGCGGAGCACGCGGCCGTGGACCTCGCCCTGGTCGTGTCCCTGCGCCCCCGCGGGGCGCGCGCCGCCGCGCCGGGCCGCGCCGCGGAGGACGGGGGCGCCGGCATCGAAGCTTCTGTCGGGCGTGTCCCCCTACAGGGGGAGTTTCGATGCAAAACAAACTATCCCAGTGCGACCCTACCTAGGAGTTGGAGCCGGGCCGCGCCGCGGAGGACGGGGGCGCCGGCATCTGGGCCTCCCAGAGGTCGGGGGCGGCAGAGAGGTGGCCGATGACTGGGGGGGGCGATGACTGGGGGAGGCGATGACTAGGGGGCCGATTTTTCGGGCGGCAGAGAGGGGGGCGAGGACTGGGGGGGGGATCTCGTTGAGTGGGCCATGAATATTCCCCAGATTTCATGCGGGGCAGCATGTAGGCGGAAACGAAAGAGTGGACATGGACATACAAACTCGGGAGGTCCGCGCGGATTTGAACTCGGATCGCGTTGGCGCAACCACTCCCGCCACGGCGCCCCGGCGCCGCCCTTGGCGCGCTCCGCGCGCCAGGGAGGGGGGTCCAGCGCCGATGCGAGTCCAGCGCCGATGCGAGAAATCCGCGCGGACCTCCGAGTTTTTATGTCCATGTCACTTTTCGTTCCCCTAAGATGGGGTCGGAGGATCGCGCCGTATCGCCGATGCATCGGCGATGCGGCCCGATGCGGAGCCCGACTGGCTTGACGTCGACGTCGCCGATGAATTGCCGACGTCGACGATGCGTCGCCGCTGCATCGCCGATGCATGCCCGCGCCCCCTTGTGAGAAAGCCCGCCCTCCTGCAGTTTTTTTGTAACAGCGGGCGTTTTCGCTATTTTTGTTGGGCCCCGGGGCCCTCACAGATCGATCCGTGGAGGATTGGGGCTCACGCAGCGGGGGTCAGCGCCAACGGCGGGTCGGGTCCAAAGGATAAGAATAAGAAGGTGAATGCTACTACTAGTACTGGTGCTAGTACTAGTCTTAGTATTAGTACTAGTACTCGTACTAGTACTAGTACTAGTACTAGTACTAGTACTAGTACTAGTACTAGTACTAGTACTAGTACTAGTACTAGCCCTAGTATTAGCAATAGTAGTACTCCTACCACTACTGCTACCACTATTACGACTACTACTAGTATTACTACTACGACTATTGCGACGACTACTATTACTACTACTACTACTACTACTACTACTACTACTACTACTACTACTACTACTTCTACAACTACTACTACTACTGCGACTACTACTACGGCCGTGTCGACGATTACAAATAGTATGACAACTTTTTTCTAGTACGGCAACTAGTACGACTACGATTACGACTGCTACGACGACTATTACTACTTATTCTGCAACCACCACCAGTACTACTACTACTACTACTACTACTACTACTACTACTACTACTACTACTACTACTACTACTACTACTAGTACTACTACTACTTACTACTACTACTACTACTACTAACTACTCTACTAACTACTACGACTACTACCTACTACTACAACTATACTACTACGACCTACTACCACTACTAAATAGTGCTACGAGCACTACTCCCACGACTACGAGCACGTCACAACTACTACAACAGCACTATTACGACTAGTAACCATACTAGTTTTAACTACGACTAGTACTAAACGACTAAGCAAGTATAGTAAGTAGTGAGTAGAGATTAGTAAGTATAGTAGTAGTAGATAGTTCGTAGTAGTATTGGAGAAAGTAGTAGTAGTAGTAGTATAGTAGTAGTCGTACAGTAGTAGTAGTAGTAGTAGTAGTAGTAGTATAGTGGTAGTACTAATAGTGAGTGGTAGTAGTAGTGTAGTAGTAGTAGTAGTATAGTCCGTAATAGTGTAGTAGTTGAAGTAGTAGTAGTAGTGGATTAGTAGTTTGAATCTAAGAGAGAGAAGTAGTTACTTAGTAGTAGTCGTAGTCGTAAGTCGTAGTATCAATCTAGTAGTAGTAGTAGTAGTAGTCGTCCGTAGTACGTAGTAACAGTATAGTATTAGTAGTATAGTGTAGTAAGTAATATGTAGTAGTACGTGGTAGTAGTAGTAAGTAGTAGTAGTAGTAGTAGTAGTCGTAGTATTATAGTAGTAGTAGTAGTCGTAGTGATAGTAGTATTAGTATAGTAGTAGTAGTAGTAGTATAGTATAGTTAGTAGTAGTAGTGGTAGTAGTCGTAGTAGTCGTAGTAGTAGTAGTAGTAGTAGTAGTAGTAGTAGTAGTAGTAGTAGTAGTAGTAGTAGTAGTAGACGACAGTAATAATGTGATGAATAATAGCATGAAGAATAATACGTGTAATAATTACTATAAAGGAAGATGAAGACCCGTTTCTTCATTGCAGGTCTTTGCTGACTGTGCGCAAGTGCGATCGCAGCCCGAGCGAAGATACAAACTGTGTGTGGCATGCATCTGCGCTGGTTTGCTCACTGCGCGTGCAGCTCTCGTGCCGTCCTCGCGCTCCAGGGCTTCGGGGCAGGTGCGTGGCGCCTGTGTGCACCTCTGGCTCCTCCTCGAGTCCGTTATTCAGACGCTCGCCGACCGTGTGCACCTTTTGGCTCCTCCTCGAGTCCGTTCTTCAGACCTTCGCCGACCCGGGGTTTGGGTGTCGCGCGGGCCCGACTGCCCCTGGCTGCCGTCTGCGGACGCGGGCTCGGGCCCAGACGTCCGAGCCACCCCTCCTCCTCCTCCTCCTCCTCCTCCTCCTCCTCCTCCTCCTCCTCCTCCTCCCTCCTCCTCCTCCTCCTCCTCCTCCTCCTCCTCCTTCTCCTCCTCCTTCTCCCTGGGGTCTGGGCGTTGCAACTCCTTCCCGTCGGGCGTTCCCGCCCAGTTTCGGGCCGCGGGGGCCTCGCAGATCGACCCAGCTGGAGTTGCGTCGGGCATGTTTCCCTCTAGAGGAGGGAAAGTCCGCAGTAGTCGAGAAATCGTCAGGGGACGACTGTTCTATTCTGTTTTGACTGTGTTTGTATTTTGGTTGAACTATTCCTCATTTTTCGTCCAAGGCCCGCGTGCAGGAGGACGTGCCCGACTTACAGGCTAGAACGATGGCGCAGGAAGCCGGGGTCCAGAGCTCTGGGCGTGGTTCTTCGCGATGCTGCAGCTTTGTCGCGTGGGCATGTCTCGGGGTGTATGCACTCCACCGGCAGGTTTGGGAGCCAAAGACACACGGCGCTTTGCTTTTTTCGAGACACGGCCCCCCGACCTCTCGACCACCTCCCCGGGACAGGCTCTGCATCCCGAGTCCTCGTTCGACGGCCCCGATGCCCAGCAGGGGCACCGAGAGGCCGAACGCGAGGAACCCTGAGATCTGGCGGCGCGAAAAGTTCATAGTATGGTGAATGGTGAACAATCACGTCCAGAGGCCTGGACCCCACCGTTCTGTGGCAGGTTTCGAGCTGCATCGCTCTGCGATGCGTGGGGCGAAAACGCCCGGCCCGAGAAAACTAGCCGGGACGTACCCAACCCTCTGTACACATGAGGCGACTATACATCGGACCGCTCAATACAAAAGCAAACACTGAAGGATCCGCCGTAGCGTTGGGCCAGAGTCAAATGTTTCACATTCGTGGCATCACTCTTAAGAGTCATATCTCTGGCAGGAAGGCGACCACGAGGGGGCGTGGAAACATACTGATGAGGGGGAAGTGGAGACATGCTTCGTGGGAGTAACAGCGCATCGCGCTAGGTTCTGATTCCAGAAGAGCGCCATGCGCGCTATGACAGAACAGCGCCCTGCGCTAAGCGCTGCAAGCGCCCGAGTGCACTACGGACAAGAGGCAACTGAAGAGTCGATGCGGCATGGGCACATGTCAGCGCCATGCGCTCCGTCGCGCCCCAACCCGCTGCGATTTGCGATCAAACAGCGCAGCGAGGTCTGATGGTGGTCCCCGTGGGACGTACCTCCGCTGGACCTCCCGGGAGCCCACGAAAGTGGCGACACCTTCGCAGATCGCAGCCCCCCAGGGGACGGCGAGTTCTCTTGGTGATCTGCGTGGGACGTACCTCCGCTGGCCCTCCCAGAAGCCCACGAAAGTGGGGACAGCTTCGCAGATCGCAGCCCCCCGAGGGCCGGCGAGGTCTTGTGGTGATCCGCGTGGGACGTACCTCCGCTGGCCCTCCCAGAAGCAAGCGACAGTGGCAACAGATAGCAGCCCCCCAAGGGGCGACGAGGTCTCGTGGTGATTTGCGTGGGACGTACCTCCGCTGGACCTCTCAGGAAGCCCACGAAAATGGCGACAGCTTCGCAGATCGCAGCCCCCCAGGGGACGGCGAGGTCTCGTGGTAATTTGCGTGGGACGTACCTCCGCTGGACCTCTCAGGAAGCCCACGAAAGTGGCGACAGCTTCGCAGATCGCAGCCCCCCAGGGAACGCGGTCTCGTGGTGATCTGCTTGGGACGTACCTCTGCTGGCCCTCCCAGAAGCCCACGAAAGTGGCGACAGCTTCGCAGATCGCAGCCCCCCAGGGGGCGGCGAGGTCTCGTGGTGATCTGCGTGGGACGTACTTCCGCTGGCCCTCCCAGAAGCCCACGAAAGTGGCAACACCTTCGCAGATCGCAGCCCCCCAGGGGACGGTGAGGTCTCGTGGTGATCTGCGTGGGACGTATCTCCGCTGGCCCTCCCAGAAGCCCACGAAAGTGGCGACAACTTCGCAGATCTCAGCCCCCCAGGGGACGGCGAGGTCTCGTGGTGATCTGCGTGGGACGTACCTCCGCTGGCCCTCCCAGTAGCCCACGAAAGTGGGGACAGCTTCGCAGATCGCAGCCCCCCAGGGGACGGCGAGGTCTCGTGGTGATCTGCGTGGGACGTACCTCCGCTGGCCCTCCCAGAAGCCCACGAAAGTGGGGACAACTTCGCAGATCGCAGCCCCCCAGGGGACGGCGAGGTCTCGTGGTGATCTGCGTGGGACGTACCTCCGCTGGCCCTCCCAGAAGCCCACGAAAGTGGCGACAGCTTCGCAGATCGCAGCCCCCCAGGGGACGGCGAGGTCTCGTGGTGATCTGCGTGGGACGTACCTCCGCTGGCCCTCCCAGAAGCCCACGAAAGTGGGGACAGCTTCGCAGATCGCAGCCCCCCAGGGGACGGCGAGGTCTCGTGGTGATCCGCGTGGGACGTACCTTCGCTGGCCCTCCCAGAAGCCCACGAAAGTGGCGACAGCTTCGCAGATCGCAGCCCCCCAGGGGACGGCGAGGTCTCGTGGTGATCTGCGTGGCCCTCCCAGGAGCCCACGAAAGTGGCGACAGTTTCGCAGATCGCAGCCCACGAGGGGGCGGCGAGGTCGCGAGGCAGGGAGGAGGCGGAATAACACCAGGAGCAGGAGGAGGAGGAGGAGGAGGAGGAGGAGGAGGAGGAGGGGAGAGGAGGAGGAGGGAGGAGGAGGAGGAGGGAGGAGGAGGAGGAGGAGGAGCAGGAGCAGGAGGAGGAGGAGGAGGAGGAGGAGGAGGAGGAGGAGGACGAGGACGAGTACGAGGACGAGGACGAGGACGAGGACGAGGACGAGGAGGAGGAGGAGGAGGAGGAGGAGGAGGAGGAGGAGGAGGAGGAGGACGGGGGGGAGGAGGAGGAGGAGAAGGTGGGGTCAGACAGTGCTCTACTCAAAACGAGTACCCAACACAGGAGGTTGGGACAATTCGAGACGCCAGGATCTCCGAGGTTATCAGGGCCCAGAGAGAGAAAAGTATCGAAACAGTGTCGAACGAGTATCGCCTCCCAGGGCCCGACACGTGAAACCCTTCAAGTTTCGGTATTCCCTTGGTGCTGGAAATTCCTTCTGGTGACCAAGGCCAACGTAGCTTGGAACATCCAATCCCGAGAGGCCGAAAGCGAGGAAAGGTGTTGAGATCGGCCGGCCCAGGGCTGCCGCGACAGGGCCCGGCAGACCTGCGCGGGTGCCCACCCGGTCTTCTTGTGCGCCCCCGAGAGAGGAGGCCGCGCCGAGCGCGCGGCCCGCGAAGCGGCCCCGCTCGGGCCCGGCGCTGCCGGCGCTGGGGTACGGGCACTCGAAGGCTTGTGGACGACGATCAGTGGAGAGGAAACATGTCGCCAGATAGTTTCTAGGCGTATAACAAATGCCCAGGATCTGTCTTCAAGTAAGAACAGGGTTTGGATATCAGTAGAGCATCTTTATTAATTCAGTGGTAGGATTGTTAGAGTGTCCATCGTCATGGCGTCCACAATCGAACGCCGTCGGGGGCGTCGAAGGCCCAGGCTCGGCCACGCGCAGAGGGGGGTGGGGGGGGAGGGGGGAAGGCTCCTCAGAAGCACCCCGGCTCCTCAGAACCGGGGGCGGAAAAGAGGGGGGTGATGACTAGGGGGGGGTGGATATCATGGCGTGGGCCATGAGATTTCCCCAGATGTCATGGCGCCTCTTCTTGTTTCATTACGTCCCTGGCCCTCCCGCTGGGCCGCGCACATGCCGCTGGTCATGATTTGCACCCCCCCCTCTTGGACACCCCCCTCTTGGCCGCTCCCGATAGAAGGCGCGGGCCTTGTCTGTGGACGCAAGGCCGGGGCCTTCTGAGAAGCAGGGTCCCTCTAAGCAGCCTCCTTCTCCCCTCCCCCTACCCCCCCCTGTGCGCGCCGCCAACAGGCATCCCCTCAGATCCAGGCGTTGCCATTCCTTCACGCCGGGCGCTTTCACTGGCTTCTTCGGGCCCCGGGGCCCCCACAGATCGATCCGCGGAGGACGGGGGCTCCTCGCGCAGCGGGGGTCGTCGCCAACGGGGGCCGGCCAGTGCCCCCTGGCGACCCCGGGCTTGGGCGCCTCGCAGGGCCGATTGCCCCTGGCTGCCGTCCGCTGACGCGGGCTCGGGCTTAGAGATCCGGCGTCCCCCGGGGTCTGGGCGCTGCAGCTTCTCTTTACGCCGGGCGTTTTCGCCCAGTTTCGGATCCCGGGGCCCTCGCAGATCGCCCCGGCGAGAAAAAATGGCGCAGGAAGATGGGGTCTAGGGCTCTGGGCGTGATTTCTGACGATGTTGCAATTTTTTGGCTTCGTCGGTCCCCATGGGGCAATGGTATCTCAGCCCCACCACCCCACCAAGGGACAGGCCCCTCGAAACCAGAAGGGAGCAGACAAGATTTACATCTAGGGTGGTAAATCGGCCAGTGGGGCCCAGGTCACGCCAGTGGGGATAGGGATCGGTTAAACGATGCTCAAGCGTCCGGACAAATTCGAGATGGAGGTCTTCCTTCGTTTTCGGTCTCCAGGGGCCCTTGCGGGGGCCCGGGACCGTCAGAAAACGACTCGGGGTGGAAACCGGTCCTGGGGAAGGGGTCAGAGATGTCTCGGAGGCCGCGTTTTGGGTTTTTGGGGTCAGTTTTACTTGGCTCGTGGGGGTCGGTTTTCTCGCCTCGGGGGGATGCTTTCCAGCAGCTGCGCCTCGTTGAGAGCTTTCCGGGAGTGTTCGAGTCGTTCCCAGCGGCCGCCGTAGGCCCGAGTATGACCCAAAAACCACCATGCGTCGAGCCCATACGTTCCTGCTTCGTGACACAAACGCGTCGGATGACGAGTGAACAACACGCACCCATACCCACAGGAGGGTCGGAGGGAGGAGGGCTGGCTGTGGACATGGGTGCGTGTTTTCGCACCCTCGGGGAGGTTCCCGTCCGAATGGGGGCCCCCATCTGACAAGACGCACCCGTAGCCCCCTCCGTCCCCCCTGCAGTCGAGCATCTGTCAGGAGGGAAAGAGACACACAGACACAATTCATCGTCGACTCCCAGGAAAACACGGAAAAAGATGGGAAGTGTGGGGGGAAGACAGAAACCCAGGAAAAAATTGGGAAAGATGGAGAATCCCTTTATCTGTGTGCATTTATTCAATCGCTTCGCTCACTCCGCCGGCCCGTATTGCATGATCGCTACTGCTTCGGCGCGGGCTCGGGGCCATTTCGGCGCCGCCGGAAGGAGGAAGATGATGATGGGGAGGGGGAGGGAAGGAGGAGAAGAGGATGAGAAGGAACGGAGGATGATGATGATAAATAGGAGGAGGAGGAGGGAGGAGGAGGAGGAGGAGGAGGAGGAGGAGGAGGAGGAAGATGAGGAGGAGGAGGAGGAGGAGGAGGAGGAGGAGGAGGAGGAGGAGGAGGAGGAGAGGAGGAGGAGGAGGAGGAAGAGAAAAGGGCGGAGGAGGAAGCCTCTCGATGGCATCTAGCGGCGCTCTTGGGGCCAAACAGGGCCGTCGTCCAGATGCTTCTTTGGGAGGCCCTGGGGTCTGTGAGAGGCCGTTCGGGGGCGCCTGGGAGACATTTTTGAAGCCTTGTAGGGCCTCTTTTGAGCCTCCTTGGAGCCTCCAGGGGTCTCTTGGGGGCCCCTTGGCGGCATCTTGGGCCATCTTGGGGGCCTCTCGGGGCCTCCTGGGGCCCTCTTGGGGCGGAAGGCTTGAGGTTTCGGTTCGTGGTCCCCATCTTGGGCCCCTCTCGGGGCCGTCTTGGGGCTCTCTTGGGCCATCTTGGGCGTCTCTTGGGCCGTCTCGGGGCCCGTTTGGGCTCTCTGGGAGCCTTCTTGGGGGCCTCTTGATCCGTCTTCGTGCGCTCGTGGGGGCCTCTTGGGCCGTCTTGGAGCATCGGAAAGCCGAAAATGCGACAAGGCCAAAATCTTTCCCAAACCATCGTAAACTTGATGATTTTGGCCTCTCGGTGTGCTCTTGTGAGGCCTCTTGGAGGCCACTTGGAGCGTCTTGGCGGCTTCTTGGGCCGTCTTGAGATCATCTTCGGCGTCTTGGAGCGTCCTTTGGGCGTCTCGGGGGCCTCTTGGGCAGTCTTGGGGGCCTCTTGGGGCCCTCTTGGCGCGCTCTGGGGGGCCTGAGGGGCCGTACCCAGGAGGAAAACCATCTCTGAGTAGACCTTCCCAGGACCTTCCTGGAACCTTCCTTGGACCTTCCCGGGACCTTCCCGGGCTGCGGTCGGGGTATTTTTCGCCGAGGGACCCCCAGGGGCGGCCCCGCGCGCGTGAACTAGAAATATTGTTAAGTAGTTACCGGAGATCTTAGCACGCCTCTGGCCCGTTGGGCCGGCGAATTAGTGTGTCCTGGGGTCCCTTCAGTCTGATTCAGGAACCTCCTCCCGAACACGGCTGTGCCAGCGTGCCTGAACCAATTTGCCGGATAGCCGGCTCTCCGTCTCTGGAGCGCGTGCGCCCCTCCCGCGCGATATAGCAGCAGGACACTGGCCCGGGTCTGTTGCAAGAGAGCGTTCCGGGCAGCCGGCCGGGGTTTCTTACACGACAATCGGGCCAGGCGAAAGGGGGGGATTGGGAAAGGGGGGGTTACGAAATTTGCTGCATGCAGCTGGTTTCGGCCTCACCGAGGGGCCCATTCCTCGATACATCATTCTCAACCCCCCCCTTTGCTATCCCCCCCTTTCGCCCGACCCGAGACAACCCTCTCGATCAGATTCTCGACTGTGTGGGTGTGGGGTATGGGTGCGTGCTGTTCACTCTTCATCGGGAGGTCGGCTATTTTCCTTCCCTCTTCGGCCTCGGGGCCCTCGCCGGGCCCCAGGGGCCGTGGAGCGACGACTCAGGAGGACGAGCCCGGCCCCAGGAAGGGGTCCAGACCTCTGGGGGGGCCACGCCGCGAACAGGAAATCGCGACGTCGGATGTCCGGGAAGGGGGGGGGGGAGGACACGGGGCTGGGGCCAGGCAAGCAAAGGTGGGGAAATGGGAGGTTTCACTCCCCAGGTAAGGAAAGGTAAGGAGAGGGGAGGCTTCCTCCCCGAGGTTTCCTTCCCTGGGTGAGGAAAGGAGGGGGAAGGAAAGGTAAGGAAAGGGGAGGTTTCCCTCCCTAGGTATGGAAAGTCAAGGAAAGGGGAGGTTTCCTTCCCCAGGTAAGGACAGGCAAGGAAAGGGGAGGTGTCCTTCCCCGGGTAAGGAACGGTAGGGAAAGGCAAGGCCATGGCCAGGGCCGTGGCCTCTCCCAGACTTCACGGCCCCCCCTCTTCTTCCAGCACGTTCCTTGCCCCCCCTCCCCCCCCTCCCCCTCCTCCTCCTCCTCCTCCTCCTCCTCCTCCTCCTCCTCCTCCTCCTCCAGCACGTTCCCTGCCCCCTCCCCGTCCTCCGCCGCGCACACTGCGGGTGAGATTCTTATCCATCTCCTCTGCGTCTTGGGAGCGTCGGGCTCCATTCCTCCGATGCCAGAGGCGCCGTGGACACGGATCAAGCAATTTCGCCCCTGGAGGTCAGATTTTTATCCATATCCACTGCGCCGCGGCCTGTTGGCGCCCCTTCCCAGAAAGTCCAAGACGCAGTGGATATGGATGCACATCGTGCCCGCACACATGCCTCTGGCCATGTCGGGCGGGGCTGGGACAAGGAGAAGTCCGTTCCAGAGCGTCCCGGAGCGCTCTGAGCAGGCCCCGCGGCTCCCGAGGCATGCTCCAGAATTGCGTTGCATCTTCGGGGGAACTCGTCGGTCCCAAAAATCTGTGTGTCTTCTCTGCGCCCGACGTGGACCCGATGCGGACTCGACGCGAGTCTGGCGTGGATTCGACACGGATTCGACACGCATTTGGCACGGATCCGACGCGATCGACACAGATTCGACATGGATGCGACACGGATGGTTGGCGCGATGGGGCAGATGAGGTCCCCCAGAGATGCAAGGCAATCCAGAGCCGCCGGATCTCAGATATCCTCGACTTATCCCCACCCGAATGTGTTCTCGCCCTGGCTTCGTCTTGCCACCATGCGCTGGGCCCCCCCCCGCCTGGCCCCCCCCCTCCTCCTCCTCCTCCTCCTCCTCCTCCTCCTCCTCCTCCTCCTCCTCCTCCTCCTCCTCCCCCTCCCCCTCCTCCTCCCTCCTCCTCCTCCTCCTCCTCCTCCTCCTCCTCCCTCCTCCTCCTCCTCCTCCTCCTCCTCCTCCTCCTCCATCCTCCTCCTCCTCCTCCTCCTCCTCCTCCTCCTCCTCCTCCTCCTCCCCCCCCTCTGCTTGTGCACCTGCGCAGGCGTCCCTGCGCGCCTCCGCCCGGTCCTTCGTCTACACCGCGGACCCCTCGGGGGGGGAGAAGCCGGCGCGCACGGCGGGAGGGAGAGTCCACGAGCGGCGGTTCCAGGAAGTAAATTCGAGGAAAGTAAAAACAATGGATTCAATCAGCTAGTTTTTATGTCGGGCATGCCCCTTTACAGGAGGAGCGTTTTAACGTAGTAAGACAATAGACGGGGAACGAGTTTTCTGATATGTACGAACTATGTTTGGATATTGTTGGGCTATTCTGCGTTTTTCGTCCAATCCGCCTGTAGGAGGACATGCCCGACCTAAAGTTAGTTACATGACACAATATTAAGTTCGAGGGCCCCCTTTCTTCGGATGCAACTCCTGGGAGGTCAAATTCTGATTTTGCCCTGGCCCGAAATCCGGCTCAATCCGGCTTAATCCGGCTTAATCCGGCTTAATCCCGCTTCATCCCGCTTCATCCCGTTTAATCCCGCTTATTCCGGCTTAATCCCGTGTACTCCGAGGCCCACTCCGGCGTAAAAGCGCCCAAATGGGGCTTAATCTTCTTTAATCTTTCCGACGAAAACCTCCCAGTAGTTGCCTCCGAACTTTCCTGGGTGATGCCAGAAGTGCCCCTGGCCCAAGGTCCCCCCAGGCCGTCCCGGGAGGGCCGCCGCGGCCTCCTGAGGCTCACACCCCTCGCGAGGCCCAGAGGGCCCCCGGGGGCTCCAAGATGGAGCCCCCGGGGGAGGAGGAGGGGGAGGAGGAGGAGGAGGAGGAGGAGGAGGAGGAGGAGGCGGAGGAGGAGGAGGATGCGGAGGAGGAGGCGGAGGAGGAGGAGGAGGAGGAGGGCCCGTTGTCGGGCCCCGCGGGCCAGCAAACATGGAATCTGGGGCGAAAAGCTACCACCAGACACGAGGTCGCGGCCTCTGGGGGCTCGCAGCGCACAAAAACACGAAGTCGGACCTCTGGGTCCTTCGCTCCTCCGCTCCGCCCCGTCCCTGTCCTGGCTTCCGCGCCGTCGCTCCCTTGCTCGCTCCTCTTGCCCTCTCTCCCGCCCCCCACGGTCGCAGGATGGTGGTCTTCCGCCGACAGTGCAGTTGATAGGGGAGCTCGGGTGTGCGAGAGGGTGGAAGCAGCACGCAGTGGTGTGCACCGACAGTCGCGGAGGCGGAGGCGGAGGAGGCGGAGGAGGCGGAGGAGGCGGAGGAGGAGGCGGAGGAGGAGGCGGAGGAGGAGGCGGAGGAGGAGCAGGAGGAGGAGGTGGAGGAGGAGGGAGGAGGAGGAGGAGGAGGGGAGGAGGAGGAGGAGGGAGGAGGAGGAGGAGGAGGAGGAGGAGGAGGAGGAGGAGGAGGAGAGGAGGAAGGAGGAGGAGGAGGAGGCGGAGGAGGAGGCGGAGGAGGAGGAGGAGGAGCAGGAGGAGCAGGAGGAGGAGGAGGAGGAGGAGGAGGAGGAGGAGGAGGAGGAGGAGGAGGAGGAGGGAGGAGGAGGATAACGGTCTTGCGAAACCTGCCGCGTGCAGCTGGCCATGCGGCCCCGCCGCTGGGCGCCCTCCTCGATGCAACAGGGGCGCCTCGCGCGCCGGGGGATCGGAGCGCGCCCGGCATCGCTGTCGCTGGTGCCGCTTCCGCCGCGCTGTCCATGCGCGCAATGACATCGGGTATACAGCCGGACCAAGGTATAAGATCGAGGTCGGTTCGGGGAGGGTACCCTAGTGTTCTTCGTGTTTGTTGGATGCTCTTGTGCATCCTGAGGAGGGTACCCTTGGATGTTCTGTGTGGTTGGGCTGGCGGAGGGTCTCAAGTTCTTGAGGGATGTTCTTCTGTCCTAGGTCCGACCGTAGCCAGGACCCCGGGTAAGGGGACCCGGTTGGTGGTAGGGCCCTTGGGGCCCCTCAAGTGGCCAGATTCACGACACCAGGTCTGCCGTAACCGGTGTGTTTTTCTGGTGACGGCAGTTCTGGTCAGGGGAAATGGGACGGGGGGGCGCCCCCGGTACAGATCACTAAACCAGGTTCCACTAAACCCAGTTCTGCCAACGCCCGACATGAAGCAAAAAGTGAGAATCACCGAGCGCGGTCCACTACGCGCCAAGTGCCTACTTGCGGACGCCCGAAACACATAGGTTTTTTTCGATGGAATGTATCGTAGATCCCCCGCGGCGGATCTGGGCCGCTTGCGAGTCGTTACTCTGCGAGTAGTTGAACGCGCTCGTCTAGAGAAGGGGAGCGGGCTAACGCTGAGTCGCGAAGGCGAAGCAAAGTTGGCTCTGCGTCCCCCTCCCCTTCCATCGATCAGCATTTCTGGCTTCTTCTCCTGCTCCTGCCTGGCAGGCCGCGGCAGTTTAGGGGTTGCAAGAGTTAAGTCGGGCATATCCCTCTACAGGAGGAATGGATAATTATTCAAACATAGCCAAATAATAGTCAGGGGGCGATTCTTCGATTTGTTCGAACCATTTTCGAGAATGTTTTTTTTATTTTCCGTCCAACAACGTCCTGTAGGGGGACATGCCCGACCTAATACAAGGGAGACCGCTTGTCCCGCCCACCCGCCCCATGAGCGCCCCTATCACGGTCGCGGGTACCGCTTGCACCACACTGTCTGTGTGCGCCAGGCGCCAACATCGGCGGCGAGTCCAGGGGGGAAGTGAGAAGGAGAATGCCTTCTCAGAAGGCTCGGAAGTCCCCGGGCCTTCCCAGAAGTTTTCTAAGCCTTCACCGAAGACGCAGAACACTTCTCAGAAGGCGCGGGGCTTCTGAAAAGTCTCGATGCCTCTTAGAAAGCCCTTCTCCTTCTTATTTCCCCCCTTCGCTCGCCGCCAACCACAAGTGGAAAGGGAATCGGGCTAATCAGCTGCGTGAGCTGATTCGCCAAGCCCCCCCCTTTGCTGCCCCCATCTTCGTCCATCCCGGCCCGCCCCCCCCCCCGCCGCTCCCTGGACGCAGGCGCGGGCGTGATCGGAGCGCGCTGCGGTGTGCGGGTCTCGTGCTCGTTCGTCGCAGGGGCTCGCCATAGAGAGGCAGGGAGAGGGAGAGAGATGGAGATAAAGAGGGGGAACGAAAAAGGAGGGATAGAGATGGAAGGAGAGAGACAGAAAGAGAGAGAGAGAGAGAGAGACAGAGAAAGAGAAATAGAGAGAGAGAGAGAAGCCTCCAAGGGTCAAACCAGCCTGACGAGGCTTCCGAGATGGTCCAGAAGGCGCCACATGCAGGCAAGACAGCCCAGGATGCCCCCAAACGCGCCAATATGATTCCAGGACGGCCTCGAGGGATCGCACTATACTTCGACAGAGGCTCTCAGAGGCCTCGAGAGGAGTCCAAGACATCCCAATTCACTGGAAAAGTATTGCGTTTTCAATGTTTCAGTTTTCTTTGGCTATACGGCTTGGGGGATCATGGGGGGCACTAACATTGCCTCGCAGCGCCCGAAGAAGACGGCCCCTGAGCGCCTCATTAGGCCCCCAGGCCAAGAGAGCCCCAGGAAGGCACAAAAGTACGCCTAGATGGCCCAGGAAGGCATCAAAAGAGTGCCACTACGCGCCAAGACAGTCCAAGCTATTGCCTGAATCCCCCCCGAGATTCCTGGAGAGCCCCCAAGAGATCCCTACGAGCCCCCGCAAGCCCTTAGGACAGCCCTCGGACACTCCAGGAATGCCCATCACGGCCCCCTGCGCTCCAAGCGGGCCCTTTTCGTATCCAGCATCCGCCCACGACAGCCCTGCACACTCCGAAGGCCCCCCTATGGCTTCCCCACTGCGCCCGAGCCTGGCCCCAAAGCGTCCTGGGACCCTTCCTCATCCTTCCGCCTGGCGATGAGCATGCACCGCTGGCGATGTGCTCGTGCTCGTGCTCGTGCTGGGAGGGGATGTAGGCTCATGGAGCCGCCCTCCGTCGCTCCAGCAACCCCAAGACCCCGGCCCCCCCCCGACCCCAGACCCGAGCAGAGGAGGCGAGGGAGGGAGGGACGACCAGGAGGAACGAGGCGCAGGGGCCCTTTTTTTTTCTCTCATAACCAGAGCCCATGCTGGGAGTGATGGCGCATCATCAGGATGTGGAGCCTTGCAACGCCCGTCCTGGAAGAATATGCCGATGATTGAGGCACCCGCGGGAAATCGAATATTGGCACAATCACACAGTGGATCACGTACTCCTACAAGTGCGCCCCGCACGCTGTGTCCACATACACGCACACACACACACACACCCGTGTCCACACACGCACATACACATACAAGACACGCATACCTCGAAGCACTCATGCTATTTCGGGCCCAGGGAAGGGCCGCCTCGTTTCGGAATCCAGAGTCGCTCCCCTGCCGGTCGAGAAGGAGACCACTCCCTGGGAGGCGGTACAAGGCCACCTCCCGGCGCCGGGGAGTGGGCTCCACGTCGTCAGGGCACAAGGCCCCCGCCCCCGGAGTGTAATACAAGGCTACACTCCAGCGCAAAGAGGGGCGACCTAGAAGGCGGCGACGTTTCGACCGACAGGCTCGCCGAATGACGCGGCACCCCCTGTCGTTTCCCCCACCCCCCTTCCGACCCCCCATACCACGCAGCTCGAATACATGAAGAGGGAGATCACTCTGGAGCAGCTGCTCCTGCGCAACACCACGGGGAAACACCTTAAGGATCACGCCCAGACCAAACGCAACACCACGCCCTCGCCGGTTCCCGGTGATCAGGCGGATACCGGCCTCACGCTGCCCGTTGCACGGGGGAAGATTCCACGAATCCAACCGCCCCCGTGCAGACATGGCAGCGAGCCGTGCCCTCCCGCCCCGCACAAAGAATTCAGCCGACATATAGCAGTGAGGAGCAAAAAGTGATCAGAACAAGACGTTCTCCCCCCAGGCGCAACCCCCACCGCACCAATTGCAGGTTCCCAAGGGGCGACGTTCGGTGCTGCCCGGGCCGGGGGGAACCCAAGTAGCACCCCCGCCTGTGGGTTGGCCGCCCCTCGGGCGCCATCGCTGTCGCTCGCGAGCGCTCGACCCATGGGCCCCCCGGGCACCCGACGGGCGTTGCCCCCAGCTCAACCGGGAGGTTTGGGCACTTATGAGCCTGAGTTGGCGCCGTAACTCGCGGCGCCTGCCTCCAAGCGCGGAGTGCTCCCGTCCGACTCGGCGGTCTGTGGACGCGCCGGTGTGGTTGGCGGCCACACCCGGCACCCCGGCCCCGGGAGCAGGGCGTAGGCCAGTGAGAACTACGGGCGCGCCCCCCAGCACAATATCGCATGCTGGACTTGGCATCTCTTTTTCCACGCATGCCCCACAGCCCTTCCGCGTAAACGCACACAAGCACGCACATTCACCAATTTGCCCTCAATGCACGCACATACACATACAAGACACGCATAACGCACATTCACCAATATGCCCTCACACACGCAAGCAAATATACGCCAGGCACACGCAATACTCAAACGCTCGCACGCGCGGGCAAGAACACTCTACCCGTCTGTTGCCAATATTCGTAGTTCCGCCGTGCCACGTGCGTTCGACGTTGGTTCTGGTTCCGCGCTCTGGGCTGCTGCGAGAACTGGCCGATGCGACGAATCTGGGGGCCTTCCTTGATCCCCTTTCCTGAGCTCCGCTTCGCCAGCGGTATACGCCCGGTGCCTTCCAATGCTGGGGAAACAAACCGCATATGTGCATGACAGCGTTTCGTGCGCACCTCTGGTGAGCCAGCGTATCGTGACAGCGCCTTCGCCTGCACTGGAACCGAATCGCGCAGAGCACGCGCTTGGTAATTGAAATCCGTGACAGTTCAAGACGAACCAATGTAGCTGCAATGCAGTGCAACGCATCGCGTGGTATCTCAGCGCAACGATTTGCGAGAGCATCGCAAGGCGACGCAGATCAATCCGAAGCAGACCCACTGGTGATACCGTTGACAACCCAACACAACACAATGCCAAGCAACGCAGAGCAACTCAACGCAACACAAAGCACTGCAAGGCAAGACAACGCGTAGCAGCGCAGAGCGACGCAGCGCAGTGCGTTGCCAAACACTGCAACGCGGCGCAATGAGGCCCGGGCGGCTGGACGGGTGGGGTGTAACTGCCACCAGGCCCTTGTTGCACAGAAACACAGCAGGACCACTTCAGCCTGCCGCTCCGATTGCTCGAGGGCGCCAGGGAGGCTGCGTTCCTTCTGTCCTCATACGTCTGGCCGCAGAGGGCCGCTGGGTACGACTGCGGCCCCCCCCCACCGAGGGCTCGAGACGAGGCGCAGCCGCTGCACAGCACCACGGCGCCCAGCAGCCACAGAAGATCCATGTATCAATCCATCTGTGTATATATATATATATATGTATTCATGTGTATTCATGTGTATACATGTGTTTATATACGTGTATATACATATAGATATAGATGTACATACACATGTATGTATATACGTGCGTGCGTATGTGTGTAGGTAGGTGCTTAGCGGGCCCTGGAAACGACAGGGCCGCATGGCTGTTTTGTTGCCGGTTCCGTTTTGCCGTTTTTCGGCCGGTTCCCACGCCGTTTTTTCCTGGTTCCATCCTCGTTTTCTCCCCGGCTCCTGCTCCAGATCCAATCCCGTTTTTTTTTTTGCCGTTTCCGTTTTTTTTGGGGGGCTGCTTCCATGTTCAAGAGATATTTTCGGAAGCGGTGAAACAACAGCCTTGCTGTTTCCGGGGCCCTCTAAGGATAGGTGTGGTCACTGGCCAAACTATCCATTCAACTCAACATGAGATGCTGCTGGTCTTGCTCGTCGAAGAGCGCCAGTGTCGGCCAGATCTGGAGTGCCAGAAGGGGCCCAAAATTGTCGTGCTCCCCGCTGTCGTCCCTGCGAACAGCAATGACGTCGAGAATGTTTGCCCCCGATTTATATAGGTATGTCTTGATTCATCACACTCATCTACAGACATACATAACTAGTACATGTCTACATGCACATATATGTGCATTAATGTTGGTAACCGATGAGATAGGTAGCGCCGGTTTAGCGCCGATGTAGCGCCGACCATCGTCGATTTAGCGTCGACTGAGCGTTGATGAGCGCTGATCCGCGTCTGTTAGCGTCGATTCGTACGAGCCTACAATCGGGGGCTCCCAAACGGGGTGGTGACTACACCGTGTGGTGAGTCGGTGGGGATTCGGGGTCACCGCACGGTTTTGGGACTTGGGCCGTTCTCCGAGGATGTCTCGGGCGACTGGAGCCTCCAGGGTCCCAAAACCGTGTGGTGACGGACCGTGCGGTGAGGTCTTTGCGGATTTCGAGGTCACCGCCGGGTCTGTCACCACACGGTTTTGGGACACCCAAAACAAGATGGTATGTGTCCTCTCTGCGTCCCCTCCAGGACCGCCCCTTCGACCCGCTGCGCTTCGAGGCGTGGGTCGAGGCGGGCATCCCGCGCAGCGTCTGCCGGGCGAAGGGCCTCCTGTGGATGCGGGGCACGCCGCGCCACGTGGTCGAGGGAATTGGGGCGGAGGAGGAGGAGGGAGGAGGAGGAGGAGGAAGAGGAGGAGGAAGATGAGGAGGAGGAGGAGGAGGAGGAGGAGGAGGAGGAGGAGGAGGAGGCGGAGGATGGTAAAGAGATGGTCCGTTCTCTTGCACGTCTCTGGTCTAGAGCTCGGAGCCCTCCATGTCTGTTGTCGTTCTCTCGTTCGCTCGTCGTCGTCGTCGTCCCCCCCCCCCGGGCCTCCCCCCCCCGCCCCTGTGTCCTCTCGTGATGGTCAGGGTGGCCCCGTGAGAACACCAGGATGGTCGCAGGCCTAGAGGTTGACACCAACACCAAGATCGGCGGTGTGCCTCCGCCGAGGGAAGACGATCGCGATCTCGGTGATGGTGGTGATATTCTGGCTTCCAAGGTGACCGAAATATTACCACCAACACCGAAATCCAGGATCATCTTCCCCATGTGGAGGCCACCCCCTGTGCTGGTGTTGGCGCCAACCTCCAGGCCTCCGAGATGGCCCCAAGAACCCCCCCCCGTTCTCCCTCCGCCTCGCGTGTGGCCCTCGCCCTCCCTCGGTGCAAGAGCTGGGGCACGCGTATGCCACTTGTCCTCGTCCCTTGGAGGGGCAGTCGAGACGCCGGAGTACAGTGGGGGGCGCGTATCAAGAAACCATCTGCTTTTTGTCAGGGTACCCTGGGTTTCTTCGCTCCGCGCGCTGCGCGGCGGCTTCCCGCGGCCGTCAAGGGAGCCGCTGCGTTCAGGGTGCCAGGTGTTCTCCCTCAGTTGCACCTCGCGCGCGGGCTTTCGGGGTTGGGTTTCTTGCGAGGGTTTCCTGCGACCGCGCCCGCACTGTAAGGACCGCTCTGGGCTCGGGAGAGGCTCTGGTTTTCGGGCCGTTCCTTCCGATCCGTGTCGGGGAAACTGTTCGTGGTCGAGGCTTGCCGTGGGCAAACTAAGCCCTCCGTCCTTGATGCAGCGTTCCCGATGCCAGAACAGGCGTGACCAGGGGGGGGGGGAGAGTGCCGGTCATGGGCGTCATCGTGAATCATGAGACGGGCGCTGATGCTTCGGAGTGCGCAAAGACAGCCCCCCCCAGGTAGTCCTGGCAGGTCTCAGCAGGCCACCCGAGTATCCCAGGGCGCTCTCAACACCCAGTTTTGATACCGCCCCGGACTTCTCGTGGGGCCTCTTTAGGCCAGCCTGGACTGCTGGTGGTGGGCTATCCGTGCGCAGCGCGAAGCTTTACCAGGAGAGGTCCCCGAGGCTGGAACCTTACACATAAGACGAATAAGCAACTGCACAAATATTTGTTTGGGGAGGTCCGCGCGGATTCTTTGCTTATTGCGCGCTCCGCATGCCGGGCAGGGGGGCTCCAGCGCCGATCCAAGAGGAATTCCGTGCGGGCCTCTCCGAAGGTTGATGCTGGTGCAGCCTGCTCTTCCTCTAGGATTGAGGACCTCGAGGCTGGGAGTCTTGGTGCACATTTTTGGTCTGCGGGGCGAGAGCGAACCTCTTCCGCTAAAAGCTAGGCGGGCTACGCACAGCTGGGGTGGTAGTCCAATCCACGACCAGGAAGCAGCCAGCAAGAGACGAGGGCCGTCCGTGTCCGACAGGATGTCGGTGGAGTGCAGGGAGGATATCTGACCTGCACAGTCAGCGCGTGAAGACGGGCTGAGTCTTGGTACACATCCGACGTTCAAGGACCCCCAGGAGGCAGTGGGCGTGTATATTGTCGGGCCAGCGTTGGTCGACGTGGCGGAGGGGCGATCCGGCTGGGGGGCGTCTGGCCGCGCCCTCGCCCAGCGTCGAGAGGATGCCGTTCCCCCCTTTGGGTAGCATCGCGGGCGAACGTCGCCGCGCAGGAGCCTCTGTGGGGCCCCCGGGGTGGCTCGGTGGTGTACGTGCCCGCTGCCTCCCATGGGGTCCTGCGGCACTGGCCCTGGAGGCCGAGGGGCTCCAGCCTCGGAGAGGGGCAGAGGGGGGCAGATGGGGAGGCGGGGGGGGGGGTCCAGGGAGAGGGAGGGGGGAGGGGAGGGGGGCGGCGGCATGAGCGAGGGGGGAGGAGGGAAAGGGGGGAGAGGGGGGGAGGGGGGCAAGGGAGAAGGAGGGGGAAGGGAGAAAACAGCGGCAGGAGCAAGGGGGGAGGGAGGGAGAGGGGGAGGGGCAAGCCAGGTGCGCTCACGTCGTGTCCGGGGTCCAGAACCCTCATCTCCCATCTTTGATCATTGCGTAGAGCCCCTCTCTATTCGCACAGTCGAATGTCGAAGAGGACAACGATGCACCAAGGGTAATTACGCGTTGCATAGCATAGCATGGCATAGCATTGCGTAGTCAAGCAGAGAGGAAGCGGGTGGGAGGTGGAGTGGGGAGGATTGGGAGGGGAATTTGGGGGCGCCAGCAGTTTTTTCCGACGGCCTTCACATTGGTCACTTGGTTAGGGTGTAGCAGGAGACTGACTAGCCTCTTCGGCCTGTCTTGTCTGAACACCAAGCTGTTAGCTCCAGCCCAGTACTTCGGATACTCTCTGGCGGCAGCTCGTTCGTCGCAGACGTTGCTGTCAACGTTAGGCCGACGTGAATGTGGCGAACCTTTTTTCCTGTACGCGGGGACATGGGCGAGGACTCGACGGACGTGGTCCAGCAGCTCATCGGTGCACTGAGCGACGACGCACTCGTAGTGACCGAAGCAACCGAACAGAATTTAATGACTGGTGCAGTTTCAGTTTGTCCTGTTCACGCTTGTACTGACGCAGTGCATGGTGCAGCTTCTGTTGATCCTGATCACGCCTATACCATTTCGTCCGAATCGAAGTCAATGACTGTTTGTGCAGTTCAATCTCGCAAAGCAGAAGTTTCACCTGAAAGACTCCTGCAAGCCAAGCGCCGTCGTATCCACGGTGCTCTCAAAGCTTCCCCTCGACCCGAGCGCGGCCCTCTCTGTGAGAGGGAACGCAGACGACGAGGACATTATCATGATCAGGATGATGTACGTGCTGAGGAGATCGTCGTGATCATGATGATCAAAGCGTCTCCCCCCACATGAGGAGATGGAATTGGAGCCTACACGCGAACGTTCTATCCGAGCACGTGAGTTTCACAGTCAAGAGGGCGATAGGGAGACAAAGCGGAGCAGAACAAAGCTTTCAGTTTCACACTCGCCTTCCACACTGGTTGATGACGACCGAGAGGAGCATCAAGATCAGCCTCCTCTAGCTTAGCGTTGTAGCTCGAAGTCGCAACCATCAACGTCACCAGCCTGACTAAGGCCCGAATTTTGGAAGTGGTCGACCATATATCACATGCAGTTGGCATTCTTTTTCTTCAAGAGATCAGGCTACCAGACCTTCGTTCCCGCTGGCTGATGAAACTCTGCAGCTCTAAGGAATGGGGTGTTGCTTGTTCTGACCCTCCTCCACCTACCACGCGACAAGAAGTACGTCACATGGGCCGTGCAGTACTTTGGAACCGCTAACCTGGCAAAGTTACGATACTTAGAGATCCTCGCCTTTATCATCGCGTGGTGGGAATCCGTACAACACATGTCTCGTTCATCTCGGTTTATGGCCCCAAATGTTTTGATCGCCATTGAGTCGCAACTTCATTTGACTATTTCCAGTCACTTGGACATCAGGGTCACTCAGTGCATGCCATTGGCGACACGAATTGGAAGCCGACCTACGACAGCCTCCATGGTTTATGCTGTGAGGGAGAGACTACACCTGACGGAGAGGCACCAGTCACGATGGTTGCGGGTACCGCACCTACCCGTGCTCTTATATGGGGAGACCCACAGGCTATTCCACTGGTGTTCCCGGGCGCAAAGCTGCTTTCAGGAGTTCACCATCATGCCTTCGCACGCTACAAGCTCGACATCAACTTCGTCAAGCAACCTCGCTACCGTTTGAAGCACACGGCATCCTACCTGCCTCTCAGCCGATGGGCGACGAGTTCTGCAGGTTGAACGAACTATTCAACCAGGAAGCTGGACCACCATCGTTGGGCCCACACATCACTATCGCGTCTCGCTGGAAATGCTGGCATGTACGTGCGGAAACGGCCCCCAGTTTGGCGGTGGACAATGGCATCCTGGAACTTGCTCGCGGCCCAGAACGTTCGAAGGGGACAACACCTACTCAGCGACCCGTGGCATCATACTTTTACGCCGTGGCCAAGAAGAACATCTTCGTCAAGTTCCCAGGAGAAAACCGGGCACCAGGTGTGCGTGGGAGACTGTTGAAATTAATGTACGGCACCAGGGACGCTTCCAGCTAATGGGAAGGCAGCCGCGTGGACTTCGCATTTGACGTTGGCTCCGACCACGGGAAGGCGTCGCTACGCTTGTTCAAGCATATGACAAGGCAAACTTGGCGAATGGCTCGTGAGAACTTTTTTGAATTTACGTATCAGTGCTGATCTTGGTTTGTTCGAAGATGAAGTCATGCATAATTATGAGGTTTAAATTCGGGACAATTTGGACCAGGACCAACAGACTTGAAGTCAATCAGAAATCCCAGTCGGATTGCAGAACGGAGCCAGCATTGATTGTGGTATGATGCGGGTCACAGGCTTGCGGAGATTTTTGGCTAAGAAGTCGGCCTGGGTCAGTACAAACTGAGGTGTGAAATGCCAGGTGTAAGGCTACCTCGCGGGGAATAGGACGATGATCCTTTAAAGTTCAGATGTGCCAGGCTTTACTTGGTAGTGTAAGGTATCTAGCACCAGACCGTTCGGAATTATTTTTTTAAGTCAAGGAGCTTGCGCGTTCTATGTCAGCCCCAACCCGAGGGGCAAGTTCAACTCTTCCCACATTGGGTAAGTACTTCAATCACCACAGCAGGTGTGTATTCCAGTATTTGTAGCAAAAGCGCCCTAGGGAGATAAGTGTGTGGACCGACACCGACAATGCAGGTTGCAAGAAATGCTGCAATCGACCAGCGGAGGTAGAGTGATGTGTGTCTCTGTGTGTGTGTGTGTGTTTGTGCGTGGGGGGCATACGTCGTGGAATTATACTCAGAGTGTGATGGCGTTATATTCCTGGGGAAGCGGGGTATTGCGGAATGGTCAGAGGTGCCTCAGTAGCGTTCGGCTGCAGGTGGCTCTCAAGGGCCTTGAAATTGATTGCGGCATCGCGTTAACGAGCGAGGCAAGTGCAGCCGCTGCCATTGTGAGCATGGTTGCAAGAGGCTGTACTACGATGATGCATCAAAGTGGTTAACGTAGGACATCATGGGGACCTTGCGTATGCTTCAACGAAATATGCCAGCAGGGACAGCATATCCATGCAGATGCAAGGTCGCAGCCGGCATCTTGTTTACGGACACGAGTAGGCGTCAGCAGCGGAGTGTCAGCTCAATCCATGATTGGGTTATCATCGCAAGCCGCTTGCCTGGGACTTGAGCTCAGGGCCAGTTGAGATTCAGGTGCCCGTCTATGCGATTCACACCCTTAGTACCTAATACGTCGCACCTGTTGCATGACTGGGTCCTTTGCGACGCGACATTCTGAATACGTGTATCGCGTGTAAGGAGGACCTTGTACGTTTACGCCTAACTCATAGCCGCTCTCTGCTTGCACCAGTTACGATGTTTGCATTTAATTTTGGTTTTTCGGATAAAAAACTGATCCTTGCTAAAAGGAGCCTTGGCTTCGATGCGCTGCCCATTCTGCTTAGATCTCATCCGTCACCCGGTCGCTTTTGCTTTGTACATCCGGTGAGCAGTTGTCACTTGGGTCCGCGGACGTTTGGCTCACGCTCTAGTTGTCTCCAGGGACAGAAGCTCCCACCGTATTCTGCAGAGGAGGGGGGGCGCGGAGGAACCCGGCGTGGGAGGGGGTCGGCAGAGGACCCAGACCCCCGACGTCATGATTTTTTCATGGCGCGACCCCCAGAGGTCCAGACCCTTTCCCCTATGACCGGTTTTTCATCCCGAGTCGTTGTTTGACGCTCCCGGGGCCCGGTGAGGGCCCCCAGAGGCCGAACATCAGGAAAAACATCCCGTCCTGATTTTTTTCCCTGCTCGAGGGGGTCTGGGGACGGCGAGGTCTTCCAGCTCGCGGGCGCCCGCACCAACCCCTTCGAGACCGCGGGCGATGCCCCGCCCGCCGGGTCGACGCTGGTCTTCATTGGCGAGGCCCGCGCCCTGCGCGAGGGGGACGAGCGGGCGATCGCGGCGGCCCTGGACGCCTGCCTCTGCTGAGCGGCGCCCCCCCCGCCCGCGGAAGGCACCGGCGCGCGGCGGGGCCCGACGGGTGGGCCACCCGGGGGCCTCGGCGGCCCTCACCCTTTGGCCTCGCTCGGACGTGTGCGTTTTTTTTTTTTTTTTGGTTTTTGTTTTTTTCCTTCTTTTCTTTCGGCGAGGACCATCGAGGAGCATCCTTGATCATTTGGCGAAAAAACCACGCACGAAACCGAAAACAACACAGGGAATGGACGTCCGAGCGATGGCGAGTCACCCCCTCCTCAGCTGTTCATCATCTTCCCCCGTGGTCCTCTCCCTCCTGTCCCTCGTCGCCCTCTTCCCCCCCTCGTGCCCCGCCGTCCTGGCCGTCCTCCTTCTCCTCCTCCTCTCCCTCCTCCCCTCGTCCCCCTCGTCGCCTCGGTTCCCTCCCCCCTGAGGCCCCCTCGCCCCACTCGTCCTCTTCCTCTACCACCCCTCATCCTTATGAACTAGATCCTCCCTGTCGCACCCAGAGACGTGTCGGTAGAGCGGGCCGGGCGTTTCGCCTTGGATTTCTTCCCCGCTTACGTTCCTGAAACTTGCAAAACGTGCAGCAGCTTCAAGGATGGAGGTGGGTCGTTTTCAAATTGCTGCTCTCGCCTCAGCGTCGCGCGCAGTCGTATTACAATCGTGCAACGAGCTTCAAGGATGGATTTGACGCTATTATCACGATGTGGCTCTCGATGAACCGCCGCGCGCATCCGTTTTTAACGCTTGGGGTTGAAGTCCCAGGGATGGTGTTCTGGCACGATTTAAGACTGTCGGGACGCAACAGTCATATTGATTCGCGTTCGCTGGCGCAAGTAATGATGGGCAGGACAGAAGCAGTCACATGTATTTGCGGCGTTGAAGATCCAGGAATGGTGTTTGGGTTATGATTGGGGATTCTCAGACGGTTGTCGTCCAATGGGGCATTATTCCCAGTGAAGATTTATTGTGTCAGGGCCTATGGAGAGGGTATGTGGAGGGATGGTTTATTGGAACATCATTGATGCGTCTTGTGTTTACACATGTCCTCCTCCTCCTCCTCCTCCTCCTCCTCCAACCTCCTCCTCCTCCTTCTCCTACTCCTCCTCCTCCTCCTCCTCCTCCTTCTCCTCCTCCTCCTCCTCCCGAGTCCACTGCTGCTCCTCCTCCTCTTCCTCCTCCTCCTGCTGGTCTCGAGGGGATCGCCGATGCCCGGTGGTGGCCCTCCTCCGAAGCACCGGGCCCCCGTGCGCGGAGCGGGCAGGAGGCTACCGGTCGCGGCAAAACGGCCCTTTGCGGCACCGAGTGTGCCCATGTCTCGACCCCGTCGGCCGCATTGCGGTTGGCTGCGCTCGGTCGGTTCGGTTCGGTCGGCTGCCGCGTCGCTGCGCCATGTGAGGCCGCTTCCTGCATGTCGGTTTCGGTTTCCCCGTTCCGCTGTCGGTTCGGCCGGCCTTCGATCTTGTCGTTGCCGCGGGCGCCTGTGGGGACGTGAATTGCAGGACCAGCTTGCCACGATGTGCCGCACTGAGTTTTACTCCCCGATGCCCTTGGGAAACCCATGGGGCACCCAAGGAAGCATGATGGGTTAGGAAGTATGCTCCTCGATGTCTGCGAGCAGGATGCCTCGCCGTGCGTGTCCACTGTGTTTGTCTTGCAAAGTCTGTGTTCGCCCATGGGCAGGGCCAAGGCGCCTCTCCCTCACTCCCCTCCTCCCTCCATCCTTCTTCTCCCCTCCTCCTCCTCCTCCTCCTCCTTCTCCTCCTCCTCCTCCTCCTCCTCCTTCTCCTCCTCTCTCCTCTGTCCTTTCGCCTCTCTCCTCCTTCTCCTCCTGCTCCTCCTCCTCCACCCCTTCTCCTTAGAAGTAAATCCTCCCCGTCGCACCCCCAGACGTGTCGGTAGGGCGGGCTGGGCTTTTCGTCCGATAGTTTACCATTCATCTTCCTGAAGCTTGAACATTTTGCGCCAGTTCAAGGATCGAGGGCAGGTCCTTTTCAGAATGTGACTCGCGCCTTGGCGCCACGCGCACTGGTTTTACAAGTTTGCAGCAGCTTCAAAGATGGAGGCGGGTCCTTTTCACAATGTGGCTCTCGGCCCAGCTCCGTGCAGAAACGTTTCTCAGAAGCTCGCAGCAGTGTCAGGGGTGGAGGGCGGGCCCTCTCAACATGCGGCTCTCGCCTTTGCGCTGCGCGCAGTTTTTTTTCCCCTAGCATCCTGTGGTGCTGGGTCCTCGTTATGACGAGACAGCGCCCCGCGTTTCGCCTCTCCTCTTCGTTCCCCTCCTCCCGCTCCTCCCTCCTCCAATCCCTGCGCTTGCCCTCCGCACAAATTCGCCATTTCGGCACACACCATTCGTGACCCCATAGGGGGCTCATGTCGTATGCGTCCCCGCTGCTCATTTCGGCACACCCCTCGCATGTTTCGCAGTCCCACAGGGAATTCAATCGAATGCCACGCTGGTGCCGTTGGCATGCGTCCTCGCAGCGCATGTCGGCACACCCCTCAAACGCTTCGTGGCCCCATATGGAGTTCCACCCACGGCCACAGTGGTGCCGTCCGCGTGCGCCCCCGCCACCCATTTCTGCAGGCCCCTCGCACGTTTCGTGGCCCCATAGGCAGCTCCACCCTAGGCGCCAATGGCGCCTTGCGCATGCGTCCTCGTCACCCGTTTCGGCACACCCCTTGTACGTTTCGTGGCCTCACAGTGGGCTTCATCGAAGGCTGGGGCTGCACCCTGTGCATGCGTCCCCGCCATCCATTGCGGCACACCCCTTGAACTTTTAGTGCCCCTGTGGGCAGTTCCACCGAAGGCTCTAGTCCCCGCCTATTTCGGCACATCCCTCACACGGCTCATGGCTCCACATGGATGCTCCACCCAATGCCCCATGAGGGGATCCACTGAAGGCGGTACGCACAACGACGCTACTCACAATTGCATGTGTTCGGGTCCTTCGCCAGGATCATTGTGTTTTCGGCCAAAAAGCTTGCAGCAACTTCAAGGATAGAGGGCGATTTCTTTCAAAGGTGACTCTCACCTGAACGCCGCGCGCATTCGTCTGACACGTTAAGGGTTGGCACGGTTTAGGAGTGCCAGGACACAACAGTCATGTTGATGCATTGATGTCCCAGGAACGATATTTTGGTACGCTTTAGAGTTGCCAGGGCGCAGCAGTCATGTTGATTCGCGTCGTCGACGTCCTAAGAATGATGCTTTGGCACGATTGGGGATTATAGGACGGTTGTCTTCCATTGGGGCATCTCCCACAATGGAGATTTTTGGTGAACCTATGAGGGAGCTTGGAGGGAGGGTTTCTTACAACATCGTTGACGAGTCTGGGGTTTATGCTGGGCTTCCTCCTCCTCCTCCCACTCCCCCTCCTCCTCCTCCTCCTCCTCCTCCTCCTCCTCCTCCTCCTCCTCCTCCTCCTCCTCCTCCTCCTCCCCCTCCTCTCATCTCTATCTCATTTTCCCATTCCGTCGTTACAGATGATGAAAAATACTCATTGCCTCTTCCCTGACGCTGTCCGGGGGAGGTCCCGCCCTCTCCGCGTATGGACAGCCGTGGTGTTTCTTAAGTCTTTACACGCCGGTTGCTTTCGGTGTTTCATAATGGTGCTCCCGTTGCAGCGTGGGCCTAATTGTCGGATCGGTGTCTTGTTTCCGTCGTTCAGAAAGGCCATCTCGCCCCAGCGCTGGCCACTTCTGGGTCCGAGTCCTTCCCCATCGTTGTCGCCTCCTTCATTTACCCTCCTCCGCCTTCCCCTGGTCCTCCTGCTCCTCCCGCTCCTTTCACTCCAGTTCCCGCTCCTACTGTTTAGCCTCGTCATTTTCCTCTTTTCCTTTTTTCTCATCCTCCTTCCCTCTCCTGCTCGGCTCCCCATTCGGATTGTGCATAGCATCACGTGGTCTTCTTCGGAGCTCTAGGTCAACCATGACACGCGTCCGCGGCTGGAGAGCAAGCGACGCACGGAGGAGGGCCAGTTGGACGTGGTGGGATGTCAGATGTGGCGCGAGCTCGCCTAGCTTGCCTCTCCCCATCTCGCCTCTCCTCTCCTCTCCTCCTCCTCGCCTTCCTCCCCCTCCTCATCCTATCCTCCTCTTCCTCCTCCTCCTCCTCGTCTTCCTCCTCCTCGTCATCCTGTCCTCCTCCTCCTCGTCCTCCTCGTCTTCCTTATCATCCTATCCTCCTCATCCTATCCTCCTCCTCCTCCTCCTCCTCGTCTTCCTCCTCCTCGTCATCCTATCCTCCTCCTCCTCGTCCTCCTCGTCTTCCTTATCATCCTATCCTCCTCATCCTATCCTTCTCCTCCTCCTCGTCCTTCTCCTCGTCCTTCTCCTCCCCTTCCTCCCTCTCCCTCGGCCATGTCTTGGACCAGGGCCCTGCCGAGATGGCCGCGCGCAGCAGCCCGGCCCGACGCATGCTTACCACACAGATGCCTTGGCAGCTTGGACACACGAGAGAGTATGGCCTGCTGGCGCGACGTTTTTTTTTTTGTTGTTGTTGTTGTTTTTGTTTTGGTTTGTTGTTGTTGTTGTTGTTGGTGTTGGTGTTGTTGTTGATGTTGTTGTTGTTGCTGTTGTTGTTGTTGTTGTTGTTGTTGTTGTTGTTGTTGTTGATGTTGAACATTATTTATTCTAAAGAATAAGTATTGTTGGGCCCCCTGGTGCGCGCCCCCCCTGCGCCGCCTAGGCCGCAGCTACATTTTCATCATTTTCGTGAGGAAGCCTCAGAAAAGAGGGTGTGTACAGGATCCGGTTGTTTTGTTGTAATCCGCTTTCCCTTGCAAAAAACAATAGAAAATGACATTTCTTGTTCTAATATAATCAAATTTCAAGAATCCCTTGCAAAAAATAAGGTAAAGTGGACATTCGCGCGCGCAAGACGAAATCCTTCCAAAACCTTAGTGTTCGCAGCGATTTTAACATAAAAACATCAAAAAACCAATGGTTTTTCAACAACAAATTGTCAAAATCTCATCCCGCGCGCTCTTGCGGATTCGTAGGAAACCCAACACTTTTTAAACATTTCTGTCAAACGGGCTTTTGCGAGCAACTTTTTCGAACTTCTGCGACAACGGTTGCGCACCTGCCAGGGCCATCATCCCTGTCAAATAATACCATGCGGGACACATTCGTTTTTTCTTCGCGCGCGCACGCCGTCGTCGTCGGCCGCGGGGCCCTGAATAGTAGCCACGGTCGTCCGCATGCCACGAAGTGAAGTGTCCGAACGTCATAGGGCGGGAAGCTGGGTGTGGGTGGTGGCGAAGAGTCGTTTGGAAATTTGGTAGAGCTTGAACCGGCCCCCCCACAAAGTGGGGGTATTGCCCGCCTCCTATGAAAACCCTGGCACTGGTGAGAACGGAGTGTCCCCAGTCTTAAATGATTGTTGTTGTTGTTGTTGTTGTTGTTGTTGTTGTTGTCGTTATGTTGTTGCTGCTGCTGCTGCTGTTGTTGTTGTTGTTGTTGTTGTTGTTGTTGAACATTATTAATTCTAAAGAATAATTTTTGTTGGGGCCCCTGGTGCGCGCCCCCCCCGCCGCGCCTAGGCCGCAGCCACATTTTCATCATTTTCGTGAGGAAGTCTCAGGCAAAACGGGGTATACCAGATCCGGTTGTGTTGTTACGATCGGTTTTCCCTTGCAAAAAATAAGCTAAAGTGGACATTTCTTGTTCTAACATAACCAAACTTCAAGAATCCCTTGCAAAAAATAAGGTAAAGTGGACATTCGCGCGCGCAAGACGAAATCCTTCCAAAACCTTAGTGTTCGTAGCGATTTTAACATAAAAACATCAAAAAACCAATGGTTTTTCAACAAAAAAATGTCAAAATTCATCCCGCGCGCTCTTGCGGATTCGTAGGAAACCCAACACTTTTTAAACATTTCTGTCAAACGGGCTTTTGCGAGCAACTTTTTCGAACTTCTGCAACAACGGTTGCGCACCTGCCAGGGCCATCATCCCTGTCAAATAATACCATGCGGGACACATTCGTTTTTTCTTCGCGCGCGCACGCCGTCGTCGTCGGCCGCGGGGCCCTGAATAGTAGCCACGGTCGTCCGCATGCCACGAAGTGAAGTGTCCGAACGTCATAGGGCGGGAAGCTGGGTGTGGGTGGTGGCGAAGAGTCGTTTGGAAATTTGGTAGAGCTTGAACCGGCCCCCCCACAAAGTGGGGGTATTGCCCGCCTCCTATGAAAACCCTGGCACTGGTGAGAACGGAGTGTCCCCACGTGCTAGTAATTGTTGTTGTTGTTGTTGTTGTTGTTGTTGTTGTTGTCGTTGTCGTTGTCGTTGTTGTTGTTT